TTTTTTTGCTCTTGTTTCAAAGCTGCTTTAACTTGATCAGCTTCGTTTCTTCTCTTCGCACTACTCGCTCTTTCTACTGTCAGTTCTTCCGACATCATTTCCACCTCTGATAAGGAGATAAGCAAGGTTATTTAAAATGGATACAATTTACTCATACCCTAAATTTTGTTTGTCATAAGGAAAGACGGGACCATTCGACACGTACGAGCGTGATACAAAGAAAAACTCTGACCCAGTCGAAAGACTAGTCGAGAATTTGAGCATCGGACTTTTTCAATGTGTTTTGTTACGTTATCTCACAAATAGGTTAGTTATATCAAAAGAAAATATATAAAGGGTGATATGATGCACTCGTTTAGCCACTGTATCGAACGGAAGCTGAAAAAAGTTGAAGGAAGTTTGATTTCCAGCAAACATCCTCCTCATGGCTCAACATTACTCTTTCTTTTAAGGGTATGGCCACCAATCTCATCATTTCGGGTGCATGAATGTTTTATTAACTTATAATACACTAAATTATACGGGCATTTTGACTGGTTCTAACATAAGTTATGTTCTATCAGAAGACAGACGCATAAATAAAGTCACCATTAAAAACATTTTGCCTCTTTTTCCCGGTATAAAAAGAAAGATTCCATGACGATGATAAATTTTAATCGTGGTAATTAAAGCGAAGGAAGATGTTATCCAATAAATGACACAGGCATGCTCGGAGAGAGAGAACCCGCAGTAGGAGTCCAGCCTACGGACTCCCGATTGGCTCATCGGACCCTCTACCACTGAGCCATAGGTGACTCGTGATGGGCTAGACCGTTTAACAAAGTCCTTGCTGACAAACTTCTTGCACACTGCCACTCAGAATGTCGTAGCTATAGGTTTTGCACCACGCTTAATAGCACTCGGAGTCCTTTTTCAGAATAACATCTTCCTTCAAATATATCCCATGTTGATGTGTGTCTGTTCCGCGATAGACCAAAGAAGACCTCCAAATGTGGTAAGAATATTAATGGCGCACTCGGCTGCGTCTTGTCTTCCCATTTGTTGTTCTTAACACATTTAGACGTTATCTGTAATCTCTTACTGAACGGACGCATGGCAACACGGAATCTGTCTGTTAAATAGAACCATGGTCACGATTTGTTGTACTTTATGCTCACCATTTTTTCGATCTACCTTTTGTTCACGTTTGAACTCATTATTTACCTTTGCTTGATATTTTGTCAATGGTTGATATTTTGTCAAACTCGCACCGTGCTAATCATGGTCAAAGATAATGTCCATCCGCAGTTTAAACGGAGACAACATACTCCTCCCCAGTAAGTACTTATTTTACAATAGTATAAGGCTACCGTAACATTTCTACCTGCATCTCGCAAAGTTGTAGCCAAGTGTGCTTGTGTTTCTTGCAGAGCTTTCACAAAGATGCCAAAAGCTTTTGGCCCTTTTCGGGGAAGTTGTTCTAGTAGCTTGTCTACGCAATCCTCTCTTAGGGATATCGCTTTCAACTCTTCGATGTCTGAGTAGTTCAATACTTCTGTTAAATAAGGATATAGTTTCTTTGGTTCCAAGTCTTTTCTGAGCTTTTTCCAACACGTGAGCAATATTTTCCGATGTCTGTCATCCATTTCTTTTCAGACTCACAAATTTCCTCTGTAAACAAAATGCCATATGCTTAAGGGTAATTTTTTTCTTGTCATCACCCTTTCTTTCCAAAAGCGAAACAGTATTTCCACTTCTTAATAAACAGAGAAGCATTGACCGTTCTCTGTTCTGTTGTAAAGCACGCAGGAAGCGGTTAGAAAGGGATGGTTGGGAGAAACACGAGACGTAGTAGATTCAGGCACGGTATTTTATTAGGAGAGTTAGGCATTTGTCCCGAGATACCTAGAGCTGGCCCGTTAAAAAGCTGAGTATTCAGAGTTTGTATAAGACCTCTAGAAAAAGGCTTTGGCCCCGGCAGCCTCGTTCATGATCGAGCAGTTCCCTTAAAAGATCTTATATTTTGTTAATGTCACGCCATCCCAATTTTAGATTCTTCACAGGAAAACGGATCTATATTCATAAATCTCGTGTCGAGCCATCCTAAATTGGTTGAGACTCGGTATTTCTCGTCTTCTTAAGATACCAGTTGAGTTCACAACCTGTAACCCAACTCAAAGTAAAGCCCGATGAACGATAATTTTGAGGAAGGGATTAATAAAGAAAACGAGTCGGAAATAACAGCTAACGCACTAAAACTGTTCAGCGGAACAAATTGAGACCACATGTTCTATGATAAGTATAACGATTTTTATGATGAGTGTAGTATGTTAAGTTGATATAATCCTCGATAGAGAAGACCAAAAGATTAAGGAAACTATCTTATTTTTTTCCCAGTTCGTGAGCTGCCAAGACCTCAGGCACAGTGTTTCCCAATACGGACCTATCGTCTGCTGAATAACATACATATGGAATATTTGACTTCAAGTGTACCCTTAAAATCATGTTGTATTATTTTCTGTGAGTCGTAAAACTTGATTCTTGATTGCTGGGATTCTTTAAAAAAACATTTGTGAGATAAAGTGTTTGAGTAGCGTGAATAAGCTGGACGAAATAGCATTTTCAGTCCTATGCCAAGAGACGTGCTTCATAAAAAGCCAATTTCGCGGCCCCTCTAAAGGTCATAACGGTATTATTGCACAAGGTTTCTGAAAAATGATTCGTACAACGTGAGGCCTTTTATCAAGGGCCTAACAAACTGAAAGTGTAAGCTACATTTAAGATGGACGAGTTAACCACCTACCTTGCACTAATTCTTTCAGCAAGAAGTTTAAGAAGATTGGTCTTTGAATCAAACCCGACGCGTGCTAATTTTCTTCCTGAAATGCGCAGTAGTCTTAACTTCAATCTTCCAATCTGGAGCAATTTGTGTACAATAACGTAGCTTTGAATAATTCTTATCACTGATGAGTGTTCATTGGTGGAACAGAGCACTTAGATCGATCAGAAAAAGGTCGATAATTCGCCATAATTCTGCAGAAAAGACGGTCACTACATTATGATGTAACGCTAGCCCTCAGGTGTGTAGTTACAGCGTCCCTATCAGCCATTTTTACCAACCAATCAAACACTAGAATACCCTATTGACCTGATGTTTTGGCTGCTAATATATTAACTTTATTGACAGGCTGATTTAAGAGTTATCACATTGCAAAAAGTTGCTCCCAACGTGCCGCAGAATTTTGAACTTTGATCAGGCAGCACATTGCGCATACTCGTAAAAAGATTAACCGGCCGTCTTCCCTCAATTGGTTTTGACTCTTCAAAATGCCATTCAATTACGTTAATCCTTTCAGTTCTTCATTCTTTTCACCGGATTCTGTACGCTTTTTTGTAAGTTATTGGGGAGAAATTTGTATTTAATCAAGTTATATCCCGAAAGGATGACAGTTAATTCAGCTGTGTCGTGAACTGTCTCCTTGACAAAGTGCATTTGTTGCAAAAGGAAAGAATATACCGTAATCTGTCCCTCAAATAGGAGTGAAGAAGACAACATCTGTTTCTGAATGATACATGGCAGTGATTTTCTCTCGATGATAGCTTTACCTGTTCAGTCGACTGTCATTCGTGACTACAGAAATGCAGATACTCTTCAAAGGTTAGGAATCAGTTTTAGAGCTCACTCATCCATTTTAGTCGCCGGATAAAGATGTAAAGTGATCGGAGTAGTGACCTCACGCCATGAGGCAGATCACATTGCTACGAAAGAAAATATTTTGCCTGCTATCGTAACAGCGAGTTTTGTTAGCACTCCAGGTGGCATTGGTAAAGGCGCAAGTGTACCCGAGATGAGGTGAGTTACGAACTCTACGATAAAAACAAATTGTCGCAGAATATCTTCTAATAAAGATGCTTGAATAATGGACAACCGCTTGTTATGTTGCGGAGACGGTCGACCTAGTGCCCTGAATCAGTCATAACGAATTAATGTGGAATAAACGAATACCTCCACTCTCCAAAGCTACTAGGATACGTCGTCGACGGTCATGATCTGCGCTAGTAAAAGGTTCGGATACGAAGGTTTAAGTAGCATCTTAGATTTGGTATCAGAAGATGATTATTAACCCATGGGAACCTTCGACTTACAAAATAGGAAAGTATAGGCGCTTGAGATAAAACAATAACACCAAACTTCTTGAGTCAAATGAGTTTTTAAGGATTAAAGAAATCTTTCTCCCCTTTTTCATCTATTTCATTTCTCGACCGGCTATCCAGTTCTGCGAATGTATTTCTATACAAAATGTATTTCTATACAAAATTAATAAAGTGAATGCTTGTTTTGTTGTCATAAAAACATAGCAACTATGTAGTAACCTTAGACGAAATATGCGGCAATAGGGGAGACCTCATCAAAGAACCTCTGTGATTAGATCAAAAAGTTTAATTTTTCTAAATCTTAGGACACTTTTATCAGAACAAGACTTTCGACGACGAAACAAAAGGTTGCTACTGAAGTAAATTAATGAATACAATCGCGAAGCCTATGCGAAGGAATTTAATTTTCAAGTGACTGATATAATTACAAGCGGAATACGGAAACCACAGCAACCACACTTAAAATACCAAGTTTCCATCAGCCTTCTCACTTTTTATCCTTTTACTCCTAGCCATAATGTAAATCGTCCACTTCCTTTACTATAAAGGTAGTTAGGCATTGTGGGTAGCTAGGCATGATGCACACTGAATCGTATAGGAGGAGCCATGTTGTGATAAAATGTTAAACGAATTTTTCTTGTTTGTAAGCTGGGGAAGTGTGATTGTATTACGTTATAATTTGATTTAAGCTAAGCGCATTTCATTCCCGACGTGTTAAACTACCTCGCTGATTATCCATTTCTTACTTGTAATCAAACACAAGGCCTTCAGACAACTGAAACAGCCTTTATAATGACACTCTTCGTCCGTTCACACATAGATAGTTCTTCACTCGCGTCTTTTCTGTTCTGACCATCGATGGTATCCTTCTTGTGATATCCGCTAAAACTACAAGCATCCTTGGAACTGACCTCACGGTTGCAATAACAGTAGCACCCTTGTTTGTTTCTTTTGTCTGTTTGTTCTTTTTTTTAGCATATATCTCATATTTTCTTTATGCGCCTTCTGAATAATCGCCACTGTCGTTACGTTTCACTACCCTAAAGATCTCATGATTCGTGTAACTTTTTTCCACGACCAGTAAATTTATTTTGGAAACAATCAATTTATTTTGGAAACAATCTCGAAGTTAATGCTGAGGTAATTACATATACGTTTTGTTAATGCCCTGTATGCTGTAAAGTCGGATGTGTTGTTTAATAGTATGTCTTTTGTTCCCTTAAGTTATTTTGAGGAAGTTAAGGGCTTGAGGAAGTTAAGGGCTTATCATAGTCTGGCTAAATTAAAATCTTGTCGAGAAGATGGATACATCAGTGTCAAGCAGTGAAGGTAACTTGATTTTTTTATTCACAAAACACTATCGTTGTAACTATTGCTCCTTCCACGTAGAAAATTGTTGTGATAATTATGACAACTAAGGAACTGATCATTACTTATCGCCTGGGAGGGGGGGAGGGGTGAAGGACTTTGCTTGTGTCACGATAAAATTTACCTGATCCCCGCATAAGGCTCTGTAATATTCTTACGATGCTCCGCACATTGGCAGTCAATTTTCTATGTCCCTTTTTATACTCTGTTGACCACGACTGTTCCCTCCCATTCTCTTAAAAGAAAGTCATATGTTCCCCCTAAAATCCTCCATACCCCATTCCCCATAAATCATAATGACAGGTCCCTTAATTAATTTTATCCGGGTGGAAAACTTCTCTTTTGTTTCATAGTTGATTTATTTTATTCTTTTCCAATTTTTAAACTATAACGTAACCATAGGAAAGCACGCGCTCTGATTGGTCAATTCAGTTTCCACCATTTGCCCATGGGTGTACGCTGCCGACGTAAGTAAATGTAAAGAGTAGTTTCCCCGCGCTTGTTTTTTCTGGTCACATAAGATTTCAGTTTTTAAAACAATGGTGACTCTTTTTCCACAATGTATAACTGTTATGTTATGTATAAAACAAATGGTAAACACCACAGCACACACTATTGAGTTAAAGATACACGCGGGAGGTTGCTAAGCACGAAAGATGCGTACGAGTCGAGGGAGGAAGCGCGCGAGGCGATAGCTAAGAGCGACTCAGTCGCGTAAGAAACTCTTACGCTTCTTTATAACTCAATATGTACGCTGCGGTGTCTACTATTTGTTAATTGGACATATACTTAAGTCGCAGACACCTCAAGTAGTACACAGTAGGGACATGCAGCTGTCACTTCAAACCACATGAGGTTAATATGTGATGACGTAAGCGCATCCTGAAGAAACCTGGGTAGTCAGTCGGGGCTTCTATCAGCTGTAGTTCGTAATCTTACAACTCATGGTGAGAAAGCACGTGACAAGTGTTTGGCAGAGAGACGGAACTGGGGCAAGATAGGGAGGAGAAAAGCGCCCAAAGACTGGTTGATATGTAACTCCCTGTTTTCAGGGGAACTCATCTGTTTCCATTCCTCTTCATATTCAAAGACAAAGACGAACCGAGGAACAGACAGGGAACGATTTATAATATCAATTGTTCCGACTGCCAAGCCTCCTACATCGGTGAGACCGGCAGAAACCTCACAACAAGACTGACTGAACACAGACGGGCGACGAGGAAAGGTGATGTCAGCAATCACATTGCTCAACACCATCGACTTACCAACCGCAACATTGACTGGGACTCTGCGCAATGCCTAACCTACAGCACTGACTATTTTCAACGACTGACTCTGGAAAGCTGGTTTACTAACTTAGAACAGACTCCCCTAAACAGATGTCAACAACTACCCGCTCCATACAAACGACTCATTCACGACATAAACATCACAAACGACCGAAAAAGAACGACCTAACTTTACCGACAGATCGAAACAGACCAATCACGACCGACTTACGTCACTTGAGTCTTACAACACCGACAACAGTCCTTCTCAGGACAACACTCACCCGGACGATCAGACTACACCTTCGCTATTCATATTCGTTAAGAAAACTTGAGTTGGATAAGAGATCTGACGGATAACCTCCCAGCAGTACCTTGAGGTTGCATTTCCTATTGCAGCTTGTGCCTCAGGCAGTTTAGCACTTCTATTTTTCGCTAAGGCATTGAACTATTTTACCACTAGCAATATATTTTTTGATGGGGGACCCGTACATTTGATGAAGCGACTTAATGTCAAGTGTAACTTTTATTTCCTTGATTTTCATAGAAACACAAAAAGTGGAAGCAGGGTTGAACTGCGCCCAAGAAAAAAGTTCCGAATGCGAAGGGAAGTTGACCTTATGAGGACAGGCCTACAGAAAGAGAATCGGAAATAGGTCAACACAATCAAAGAACTCTGATAGTTTATCAAAATCCTGCTATAAATGCTGACGAGAAAGGGTCAGGATGAACGTCAACATATAGAAACAAGGTTTCCACCAGTCTCACTGACTACAATAACTGTTTACTAGATAACTTTGTCAATTGTAAACAAGGTTGTTAAAACTCGCCACAGAGTGATTCAAAATTTAACTAATGTGAATAAGCGGAGTGAAAGAAATTCTCTTGATTATATGCACAGAGATGTACTGTGTACAAATCGCATCCTGTTGCTCTACGAAAGGTGAAAATAATTTATAACACAAGGCTCAAAATAGATCAGTTCTTTTCACAACACTAACATAGCTTTAATATTAGATTCACTGACAGAAGTTGAACAAAGTGCAAATAAACACGAGTTCACGATGTATCGATGACAACCTACTTCACACTGATACCTTCAGCTACAACTTGAAAAAGATCTGTCCTCAACGGAATTTCAGACAGTCAGCGTTAACTTCTTTATCTTGAATGCGCAGTTAGCTGTGCTCACAGAGCTGGAATCTGTGACGCTTTTTTCTGGTTTCAATAAGGCATCTTTTTAAAGCAGCATAACTTTGAATTAAGCTTATATATTTGATGGGGGCCTTCAGTAATTTGGAGAAATACTAGAACTTAATTTCATCTGAAAACAAGACAAACTAGTGATTAGCCATAATTTCTCATAAAAGATAATCAGGAATAGTTTACAAAATTACTTCTCAAAGTGTTTTATTACAATGACGAATGATGCCCTTTTTACCAAACAATCAAACGTTTGTTTGTATTATCAACTCGTTGCTAAGGCTAAAACTGTCTTTTTTGTCCGACTGATGTAGGAATGGTTACAAGACAAAAAGTTGCTCGCAACTTGCCTTGAGAGTTTAAATTCGATCAAGCATTTAATTACTAATTTTTCCGTGAAACGTGAAAAGATTACTCCGCCAACTGTTTCTGAATCTTCTAAATGCCACTTAATGCACGAATCCTTACAGGCAGTATATCTTCTCACTGGATTTTTCACATTTTCATATCAGTTTCCTATTTTCTCTCGCTTACAGTTCTTTTAAGTTTTCAGTTGCCTGACCGTCCTTTTCACTTCCACTATAACACATAAATGATTGATATCCCTCACAGCCAAATCCCTCTAACCGGGTTAGAAGTTTAGGGCGCACTCACTTATTTAGTCGCCTTATAATGGTGTAAAGTGATCGGAATAGTGATCTCATGGCATGAGAATATTTTCCATGGCACAACGCGTAACCCTCAGGTAAAATAACAGATAAAAGTTTACCTATTGAGGTGAGTGGACGAACCCTAAAACGAAACAAATTTTTATGTTTTATTGTTCTCATCAAGATGCTCGAAGTTGCTCTGGTTGTTAGGTCGCGGATACAGTAAAACCGCAGCGAACATTTTCAACCATTTGTACGTTTTCACGTGAATATGTGACTAGATGACAACGAGCTTACTTCCCTGATGAAACTACATTTTTGCTTAAATCTTTTCGCATCATGTAGCTAAGAATTCACTCCGTGTAAATACAGAATGTGCTTAAATTCTGCTATTGTCACTAGGAAATTGCCTTTTTCATGTGTGACTCGACCCTTTTTAAATACCAAAGGAAGTTCGGTGAGCTAGTTCAATCCCTTGATTTCTCAACGTAGTTGACTCTCTGGCAAACTTATAGACTGTCAAACCGTTTAATAAGCACCCCGTAAAGTTCAATACCATAAAGGTAAAGGCCATATCTAACTGCAGAATTCTTGTCCGTCTGGACAACTATGAAATAGCGCAAAGCCCCCACTTCTCCATCGATCGAACAGGTAGCAAAAGAGGGATGTTCCCCCTTGAGCTTGCAATCTTTAACGTGTTACTTTAACCGTGTCCAGTTGGTCTCGTCTAAGGAACCTAAGAGATTTCAGTAACGGATTATTGATTCGCTGCTTGTCAGCCCATGTCTTCAAGCGGCCTTAACCAGATGCGAATCTAAGCCTTCCAGCTACTAGCTTAACGGGGCGTTACTACCTACTGAACTCCAAAGACACGTGTTAGGAGCAAGGCATATGCATATTAGAGTGGGTTTTTTCCCGACGAGGATCTGATCACAATTTTAATTCCTTTTTTCTTTCTCAGTCTTATCTGATTTCTTTTGTACATTTTTGGGGGAACTTTTTAGAATTCCGTTTATTTCTATCGGCCGGGGAGCAAAGAGAATATGCTTAAATGAACAAAATTTGAAGTAGCTGCTCGATCGAATATTGTTTCGATACGTTTCCAACTAACTCAGCCATTGCGTTTAAAATTTATGTTAGAACAACACACGTTTTCGATTCAGTAACCCTTAGTATAGTGAATGTCACTTTTGTGGGGAAGCTTAAGTTAATGACATGTCGTAAACCTATGATTAGTTCTTTGAAAATCAGGAGAGTGATTTTACGCAGGAGTGATGATAGTCGCTAATGGTTCTTCGCATTCTTGATAAATGAGCTTTGCTGAGATACAAAGTTCAATTTTTTACGGATCTTTCGCTAGGTTTACTCCATAACATTTTCCTTTATATAAACTACTTTGCACTTGTTGAAAACCGTACGTTATGGATGCCAAATGTATCATTCATTTTCTTTGTCAATCAGCTAATATCGTCCAAACAATCTCCCAGACAAAACTTATTGTATATCTGGCGTAGAGCGTTGCTAGGTGTAAACGGGTTGAATTCAACTGTCCAGAATGTATTGTCGTAAATTAGCAACAACAAATAACACTTTTGGTCAAATACTAGGAGATGTACTTAAAACAAATCGAAAACTGTAGCTATTCAAAAGGCCAAAATGAAATTATAACCGTAGGCTTTTAAATCAATCAGTTAAACAAACTTATCAGCGAAAAAAGCAACAACCATCCGAGTTTAGGAGGGACTGGTTGACGTCCTATATCGTCTTGATTCCTTCAGTCACAAACCGAAAGGAATCGTTTTAAAAGCAAATTGAGCACTGCTAATTAACTTCTTTCCAAAACTGTGCAGTCAGTTATACTTTAGTGGGTTTTACTTCAAATGTTGGAATCTGTGATACTTTTGTCTTTCGAACAAATTTTTTTCGATAACACAACTGTAAATCGTTTTTTTTTTTTCTCTTTTTACCCTTTGACGATTTTTACCCTTTTTCGTTATCGTGTTTCTTCAACGCTTTCCAGTTAGACCCGTCTAACGACCCTTCGAGCTTCCAATTACAGAGGAATGAGTCGCCGTCATTCTGCCCGTGTCTCAGAGTATAATGTGTGAGATACAATGAGTATTTCTCACTCAAGGCAGCACACTACCACGATCCATTCTCATTCGTGGTGCCGCTTTCCATCCCCAACCTGTAAGAATTATCAAGTAGATCACTCGCCGAGCATAATCTGTCAGAAGATCTTGTAGCAGTTACTCTTTTCATGAGATCACTCTTGCTGGGATTTATCCAAAGAGTAGTTCCGAAGCTCGAACTCATCGCATAGATAGCTCCATTTTTTGTCGAAATCCTTTGCGTAGTGAAAAACCCCGGCAGTAAGAAAAAAACTAAGCGAATGAAAAGTTTCTCTGGTGGACCCCGAAAAGTAAGATAAGCTTCTCAATTATCAGCTTGTGTCAGTGATGTGTAAGCATTTTACTTTTACCATAACTTCTCAAAAGCATAAACAGATCAATTAAGCGGTAGGTCGATACATCACCTCCTGTTCACATACAGCAGATATGCGGAGACTAAACAACCATTTTAAGATTTATATCCTTGAAAAAAGGGTTCAATTACAAAAGAACCCAAAGAAACATATTTTCATTTTATCACGAGCTTGGAACAAAGAAACTAATCTTAGTCCCACACCCATGACTGGAATTCAAACCTCACACCATCCGCGCGATTTCGCGGTCCTTGTTCTACTGCGACATGCACTTCAAAGAACAGTAGAATACTAACTTCAGACAATCGTCAGGTTTAGATCATCCTGCTCCTCGAGATCATCAAATACCGGATGTACAGACCTCCACGCCCTACTTTCTTGGCGGCTCCCTAGGGCATTTTTGTAAGGAAGAAGAGTCCTCCAAAATACCATATAGCTCTTATCCATGTTATCAAAATCTTTGTCATAACTTTGCTGCGTGCTGCGTTTTGAAACTCTTAAAAAAAAGCTATCCATTCAAAAAGTGCCTATAAAAGTGTTAAAAACTCGATCATCACTTGTCTAGGATAATATTTTGACACTATAACGAAAAGTTAAATATACCTAAATCTTGGAATAAAAGGGTTAAAATGAACAAATTCCCTAAGTAACTAAGATTAAATTTAGACATACATACAGTGTTCTTTTTTATAAGTAGCTCCTAAATGGACCTGCGCTTATCAAAAACAGGATACTTGCGTTTTAGCCTCTTCTTTTCGTCATCAAAATCTCTTCTCAACTCATTATCATTTTCTTCTTGGAGTTTTTCAAGTTCTTTCAAACTCTTTTATTTGCCGATTCTTGTTTTGCTAACCGGTCTTTGAGCTCGGCTGGTTCTTGTTCCTTCGCATCAAGCTTTGACTTCCTTTCCTCTTTTTCTTTCTCCTTCTCGTCTAATTTCTTTTGCAGACATTCGAGTTTGAAATCAATGTCCTTTACTTGTTTTTGAAACCAATCATAAAAATGAAACAAACTAGCACTCATCATTAGGTAAACAGAACAGAAAAAATATTCAACAATTATTAACTGAAGGCGAAGTGAATTTTGTCGATTAATTCCCAGGACGAAGTCGAGGGGATTATTCAACGCAGTTCACTTAGCCTAAGGCGAATAATTGTTCTAGTTTAATTGCTCCGATGCTTCCGAATTATGTTGTAACTTCTGTAAATAGAGAAAGCATGCGCATTTCTCATGTTTTGTTACCATCCTGTTGGTTACTTGTAGCAAGATGAACAAGCAGTTTAAAGGGGTTTTTTCATTTAATCAGCAAAAACATTGTCTTCCTTTTTGAAAAGTGTTCCACCAAACTCAGTAGCATGTTTTGAGCTCTTAAAAATTGAATTTCCTTGTATCGCACTTATCACTTTCTCGGTATCATTTTCAAGACGCAAGGCAGTCATTTTGAAATTTAGTGCTCCTGTTATCCGTTCAGAGTCGCAGCTCATCTTGAACCAAACTGTCTGATGTTATTCAGCAACGCAGACTCGAACCAACCGTCGCTATGTAAAGAAGTTCTTTGATTACGCTTTCAGAGTTAAACAGATTTAATAGTAAACTGCAATAATTGTAACAAGCTATGTAAACTTCTCCTATACAGTAAATGTAACAATGCATACCTACAGACATACATACATACATCCTTTATTGACTTTCCCCTAGGGGGCTCTTCAAAGACAATAACTATCAATCTTA